ATAATTTTCCAATAAACTTAAATCAGAATTGCATGCATGCATTTGGTATACATATTACATACATACATATGTACATATATATGTAAATGCATTGCTTTTCGTACTGATATTCAGGGTAAGGAGAACCCCGGGGTTTTGCTATTTAAAACCCACACCCAGGGGTTTTACCTGGGTTTAGCGGGTAGTTGGGGTAGGCGGGGTAGAAGGAGTTTTGGGGGCAAACGGATTCAGTACCTCATGCATTATGTTATGAAAACAATCTACTTTTTAGTACGCAATCATAGCGAGGCGCAAAGCGCCGGGGGTGTAGCTCGTATTATGCTAAAGGTGGTGATTTTTAATTTTAGGTGACAAAAAACACAATGAATTGTATTGCTATGAATCGTAATAAGCTATCAGATATGATAGCTACTAAAACAATGTGCTACGAGTTGTAGAATGCAACGAATTGTATTTTTGCTATGAATTGTATCGGCTACGAATTTCATGCTATGAACCGTCTGGCACCCCATAATCGGCACATATTATTCATTATTCATCGTAAATAGATAAGTACTTTCAGTAGGGTTGCCGATCCTATCTAATCCGACATTATCCGACACTTGGATTGGATAATTCTCCTATCCGAGCCTCGGATAGGATACATGTTATAACAAGTGTCGGATATCCGTCATCCTATCCGATCGAATGAGATAATGGCGGATAAAAACGGCAACCCTAACTTTCAGTAATAATAATTTTTTGCGAATCGATAGTCTTCAAGTACTTGCAAAGATGTCAAGTCTAATAGCAGATCAGCAAGTCTAAAATACAGTCTGCTACGTACAACTTGACATGTAAGCGTTAAGTCGGTAACTCGCACGTAATTTGTACATCCAAATTACATTTAATAGCAGATAACCATATTAATCATCAAAATGTCTAATGAAAACTTCACCGACAAGTTTTATTTCAACAATGACACAACCTCCTTCCATCAACCGAATGATTATCGTAAGCCGAATTTTACAAAAATTCCTACAAGCTTATCGATAAACAAGCAACATTCGTGTAATACAACATGCACGAGTAGAACATTGCCTTTGTACATTTACTCAAATAGAACAACGTATAGCTAAGAATCCCGCCACTCAACTGGACCACTTTAACCGCGCGAATCCTACGTTTCATATATCGCACGGTATCCTTCCTCTTCGAGATGTGGTTGTCACACGCGGGCTTCAAATGCTTCGCGCATTCTCCAACATTCACCGCGTCTGCCAGCAAAGTATACGAAACCACCGGAATTCCCACCCCGACGGAGGGGAAAATCGGATAAAATGCACCTGGAACAATAGCTCGCCCTTTAATTGCTAAAAAATTTACAACAACCTCAACCACACACGCGAGCCCCATCGCGAGCGCAAGTAGCGTAGAAATTCCATCATTCAAGATTCTCAGAATTATTTCAAAGGTATTGTAAAACAGTAATATTTGCTGTGTTCTGTTGCCCGTAATGTTGCAAAGCTTGCCCAGAGAATGACACAAATTTTCCACACAGTTGAGCAACAAATGTCCAAAACTCATGGCACCAATGGCACTAAAGGAAATTGCGCGACAGGACAAAATGCAACATAAAATTGTCATGCAGCTCAGGAATAATTGTGCTATACGATAAATCCAGGGAAACAGTGGGGGTGACAGAAATCTATCAATTATGTGACGAAACAACTGTGAATATGGGTCCAGGTCGAAATATATTCCGATTGGAATGCAGAAGAACGGGATAATGACAAAGTAGTATAAAAGACCTAACAATGTTGGGCCGATTATGTCGATTCCTCGTGCCTTAATTTGGTGCCTAGACCAGGTGTGATTCTCTATAAAAAATAAAGGAATTTCGGTTATAGCTACATATATTTATAAATTGAATATCTATTTACTTCTATAAATGCAGATATGTCGTCCACATCAATATTAAAATTTAGAACAAGGGTGCATTGAGCTACAAAAGGCGTTAGGACATGGTTTTAACGAATTCATACCTTAATTGCGGGATGGATTTTAGTCGTAGAGATTTCTAACTTTCTTTATGTGAAAGCCCATGTCTCAAACTATAGGTAAGCATATCTGGCTTCCGATTTTGTGTACTCTGCGAAATGAGGCAAGGTCAAATTAGGAGAGGTGTCCTTTTTTAGTTTTCCAAACCAGTGTACTTATAAAATGGCGTTGAACAAGATATTTTTTTCTGAGGTCCTGATGCAAAAATCGTCTTTGCGACTATTATTAAGGGACTTAGCATGCTTTTCACTATATAAAACCACTTTTGCCTCATGCTTATCTTTTAAGTCCGTTTTACAGTCTAATTTTATACTTGTCCTAATGAAATGCGCTCTTTAACGCAACTCTTCCACTTTCAAGGCCCCCACATTTTACGACTTTGATGCTAAAAATCCCTAACGTGGTTTTTATCCAAGGTACATATAGTATATTGCACCGTAAGCACTTTTGACAACATTTTGATAAGTGGTTATACCCCACGGACTGAGTTTTCATCAGACCTTATAAAATTTTTGGAAAAGTTCCCGTCGTTTTCGATGTCGAACTTCAGAAATAATTTAACTAACCAAAACGCAATAATTTTATTATTTTGTCACTTGCACCTTGTAGATAAAATAGTTCTGCAGAGGGGGGACACAAAAAGATTAGTAAAATTTATTTTCTAAAAAATTTGACCATTAATTTTCCAAACAAGTTCACGAGTTTTTTAGGATTCTGCGACAGCTGATTAGCTCGGGTCCTTCTATAAAACTGTTTACACAAAATCTTGACTGTTTGTTTTAATATTACTTAGGACACTTCCAGCTTTACCCTCAAGCTGCATTTGACCCGGTCAGCTTTCAAGGTCAGCAGGCTGATTTTTCCGCGCACGGTCTGATTTATCATTTTTTGGGCAAACTATCCGCGATGATGGAAGGCCTACGTTATGTGATTCATTACGGATTCTTTTATTATTACATGCAATGATTATCTAGGGTTATTATATTAACAATCATTCACCTCTGACCTCTTTGGTTATCATGCTATATAAGCAATTAAGTTTGGAAAGTGTTTTTTTGACTTCTACCAACTCCGGGGGCACTGTAGGGTGCATTTGTGAAGCTATCACCCTAAAATTTTAAAGATATCTTTTTGAGAGTATTATCTTGCAACCTACCAAAAATCAGTTCAAAATTCAACTCCCCGCCAAAGATATTCACCCGAGAATTCGTCAAAACCATCACCTAACGCCTTTTGTATGTAAGGACAATGGGCCAATGCAAGTAGCGAAAAGTTCAACTTTCAACCAGAATTGGCTAGGCTTTTGCAAATATTCTACTTCTAAATGTGTGGTCGAATTCAAATATCGTCAAAAGTATTTATTCAGGTAATTGTGTACTCTTTTCACGTACTGGATTAATTCTCCTAATTGTTTAAGCATCCTTTTTGCGTTATCACTTGTTCTACACCAATTGAGCTACTAAGGAGGGGAGGTTGTGTACTATCAACTCCCAGATCTGGATGCCCTTTGGATATGTTGTAGTGTCCCATGAATGAACAAGAACCCTGAAGTGGTTTAATGCCATGGCCACATTTGCGTCCGCCACACCCACTCAAAGGGGCCCAAAAATCGCTTTCACTTTAGCTTTCACTCATTCAAAACCACTCCAAAAATCCAATTTTACTCAGATTTTGGAATTTCTTTCACCATTATACTCCCAGATAGTTGTTCTCTTATATCCAACACCAAACTCAACTTTTAGAAATTCTTTTAGAATTTTTAAAATTTAAAATTTTGAATGAGCATTGTTGTAGTAATCAACAAAACAAATTATGCCTGCGAAATAATAATCAAAAAAGTTGAGTTTGATGTTGGATATAAGAGAGCAACTATCTTGGAGTATAATGGTGAAAGAAATTCCAAAATCGGAGTAAAATTGGATTTTTGGAGTGGTTTTGAATGCGTGAAAGCTAGAGTGAAAGCGATTTTTGAGCCCCTTTGAGTGGGTGTGGCGGACGCAAATGTGGCCATGGCATTAAACCACTTCAGGGTTTTTGTTCATTCATGGGACACTACAACATATCCAAAGGGTATCGAGATCTGGGAGTTGATAGTACACAACCTCCCCTCCTAAGTTACTAAAGTTAGAAATGAACATCTTTTTTGTTAATACTTAATTAACATCAAACTCATTACCTGTCAGACAGACTGACAAGAGGAATTCAATAACTCTCATGCTATTAATATGGATTTCAGGCTGGAGTCAGTTTTTCTACTAACCTCCGTTTCACACTTTCTTACATATATTGCCTCTGAACGAAAATTACATAGGATTCCCATGTTCCTTGCCGGGGGCGGTAAGATCAGATAGGGCGAAACGGAGTTTATTCCCCAATGTCCCAAATATAAGCCTGATACATCACTGCCCGTGCGTTTCTGAGACTTGGGATCCATTGGGGAATCTGAACAGTAGATGGATCCTTACGGATCCCTTATGATTACAGTATATTTCCAATAAGATGTGATCAGGGCCGTAGAAGCACTGGTTTTAGGTGGAGAGCAGTCTCCAGGCCGTACGGCCCGAAGGGCCGTACCGGCCAGGTGCTTTCGACACTAGATATAATTGAACTTCCGATTGTTTACGATGTCACAATAAATAATTCTCCACAGAAAATTATTACATACGTTTTATCAGAAAGTGCACAAAAAACGTCCCGAATAACTTCCGTGGTATACGTATTTTGCAACATTGAGATGGGATTTTCTCAATTTACGCAATGCTACCTGCTTACAAAGCTTGAGCTGAAAAGATTTTACTGGCGGTATTGCGAGACATATTAATTTCGGCCCGCGATAGGCAAAACAAATGTAAATATGAATCGACTCAGTGTTCCTATTGATCAGGCGATTTCTTCCAAGTGAATGTGAAACTAATTTAATTTAATTAATGTAATTAGCTTTTTTTGTTGATTAAACTGAAATGGGTACAATTAGTAATCCCAATCTGAAGCCTATTTCTGCACGGAAAGAAGAAAGTGGCGCATCCAAGAAGAAGAAAAGAAAAATAAATAACGAAAAAACTGCAAAGCTGGCTGATGCTGCTGCAAAATTTTTTAAACTTGGTTAGATTTCTTCCATCAATTTTAAAATTATGATTTTAACAGTTTAAGAACTTTAACTTATTTTTTAGATTCGTCATCAACACCTGAGTCTGAGACACTTTCAAATGATACTGAACGGCAAAGTGGTGACCCCGATGCTGCTGACGTTCCAATAAGTTCAGCCTCTGATACCGCTCTCGAGGTCCAGGAAAATCAAGGCGAGACTGACTCTGGAGTCAGAGGCTTTGAAATATATGGTATATTGCCATTGCGGATAAGTGGCTATTTAATTTCATAAGGTTCCTCTAATTTTATTCACGATTGATTACAGAAAATGCATTTATAGCGTCGGATCCGAGCACCTGGAATAATCCATTAAAATCCGGGGAAAGGAGCCAGCTCATGTCAAACAGACCTCTTCAAGAAATACCAAAGCAGGGTGAACAAGGCAGCGTGTCTTTTAATGTGTCACAGTACAATAAAATCGGCTCAAATCCAAACAATCCAAACGAATTGTATGCCAGGGATTGGCTACTGTACAGTGTCTCGACAAACAGCTTGTTTTGTTATTGCTGTTCGTTATTTGCCAGAATTGACTCAAGAAAGACACAATCTCCGTGGATCAATTTTGGAATTGGGAATTCAGGATTCAACGACTTTGTTCATCAATCAAGAAGAATAAAAGGTCACGAAGAGAGTCAAATGCATTTCCAAGCTTTAATTTGTTGGCGTCAAAGTGAGAAAGCATCGAGGTCAGGCAATTCTCTGGAGAAACTTGCCACGGCTGAAATGCAAAAAGGGATTCATCACTGGAAACAGGTTCTACATTGTATTGTTGATGCAATATTGTATCTCGCAAAAAATAACCTGGCGTTTAGAGGATCGTCAAGTCAAATTCACGACGATAATTCTGGGAACTTTTTGTCGCTGATCGAATTGCTTAGCAAATATTCTCCTGCGTTGGCCATTCATGTCAACAATTTATCCAAAAACCGAACCAGCTATTTGTCACCGTCAATTCAAAATGAGTTCATCTCAATTGCGGGAGAAAACATACGAAGAGAAATTCTCAAGCATATCAAGTCTAGAAAATTTTTCTCGATAATGTTTGATGCGACGCCAGATATTTCTCATCGAGAGCAAATTAGTGAAATCATTCGCACTGTAAAAATTTCCAAGGACGGCTGCTACATAGAAGAAAATTTCATCCGTTTCATTAGTTTTGATGGCAAAACTGGAGAACAATTGACAAAGATGATCGTGGATACCTTGAAGAATGACGATCTGGATATTGGAATGTGCCGGGGCCAAGGGTACGATAATGGATCAAATATGGCAGGAATGTACAAAGGAGTCCAAGCTCGTGTCAAGGAAATTAACCCTAAGGCAATTTGTATTCCATGCGCCGCACATTCCCTGAATCTGGTTGGTCACAATGCAGTCAACAAAGTTCCCGCTGCTAAGCTGTTACTTGGACAAATACAAAATCTGTACACGTTCTTCTCGGCGTCCCCGTCACGATGGACGATTCTTAAGAAACACACAAAGAAGACCCTTAAAGCTCAATCTCACACAAGATGGTCTTGTAAATATGACGCCGTTTCAGCTCTCCTTGAGGAATTCGATGGTGTATACGAGGCTTTGCTCGAGTTGGCCGAATCTTCTGAAGTCAATGCGCAGACATGTGCGGACGCCGATGCCCATTTTAACCAGATAGTAAATTTTAAATTTATACTTGGTCTAACGATTTGAGACTATGTGCTTTGCAGAATTCAAATATGCAATACAGCTTTACAGAAGAAAGACATGGAAGTAGATGCCGGCGCAAAACATCTAAGATGTCTGCTGGATTGGTTGAATGAGTTCAGGGTGAATGGATATGACAAATCCTTGGAAAAAGCCAAAGCGAGAGCTTCTGAAATTGGTGTTAATTGTAACTCCGGGTTTGATTATCGTGCATCTCGAGGAAACAGACCTTCAAGATATCGCGATGGGGTTCAAAACCCACCTACCCAAAGCAATGAAGAAACGTTTAAGAGTGAATTTTTCCAGAAAATCATGGATCAAATTATTGACGAAATAAGATCCCGGTTTCAAACTTTACAACAAGTAGCGTCAGACTTCAGTTTTCTTTGGGGACATAAGTTGGAAACATATTCAAGTGAAGAAATGAAGAAAAACGTGATGGATCTCGTGAAGTCATATGGAAACGATTTTGTTGGTGAAACATTTTTGCGAGAAGTGGAACATCTGAAAAGGGCAATCTCGGCTTTTCTCGACAAACCTTTGCAAAAAACGATGCCATTGGATATTCTTAACGTCTTGACAGCAAATGGACTCCAAGAACAATTTATAAATTGTCATACGGCTTTACGAATATTCTTGACTCTCCCAGTAACCGTCGCAACGAACGAGCGAAGCTTTTCTAAGCTTAAGATAATCAATAATTATTTGCGGTCGTCAATGGGGCAAGAAAGATTAAGTGACCTTTCAATTATTTCTATAGAACACAACTATGTTAAGGATATGTCCTTCGATAAAATAATTGATGATTTCGCTGTAGCAAAATGCAGAAATGTGCAATTCTGAATATTGGTAGGTATGATGCAGTAATTTTGGTATTAAATTATTCAAGCACAAACTAATCCCTGTGCTCAACTATGCTGTTATGTTCATTTACTTTCTGTTGTCAACCTATATATGTATGCAAAACACAATAAATGAGTAGTCGAAGTGTTTCTTAGTATGTAAATCCAAGTATATGTATTTGTAACTCTAGACTCACATAAGAAAGACACGAAAGAAATTCACTGACTGCTAATTCTGGCAATTTAGCCGAAAAGGGCCGAACGAGGATCTTACTCTCCAGGCCGGACCAAGGTCAAATACGGCACTGGTCACGACCATATTGTAATTGTTTTCCAGGAATGGAAGACGTCTAATTTATAAAATGCTATGAAGAGGAATTAGTTTTAAATTAATTCTATGTAGTACCATTATCCTAAGCCGGTAATTTACTTAAAGTCACAAATTCTCTGCAAAAGTTCAAACTCTGTTCAGGGACAAATTATATGTATATTGTATAGAATTACAAAATAAATATAATGTTTCCACAATTTCTTAGCGAACTATCGATGAAATAATTTTGGACGGGCAGCAGAAATTCAAAGATCAACGGATGTCTCCGAGTTCATGCTCTTCAAATTTGATCAACAAGTTTCAATCGATCACAAATTTAATTAATATTGAAAAGAAATTTTGATAAGAGATTTTTGAAAAGAGATTTTCAAAAGAAACCATCACCCAATTGGCAAGCTCGGCCGAATATACTATCGGGATTCTGCTGTTTGCAATGATTTTTGTATGTATCCTGCTGCTTGAAGTCAAGGTATCGGACGAACAATGTGGTCATGCGGGCGGTATGATTGACTCTGGACGTCATAGGGTACCTAGACTTTTATTCTCCTAGGCGGAATCCATAGTTACGTTGCAAGTGCATTTCTGCTTTTAGCCGTATTGGAATTAACCAATTATTGGGGGATTCATAACGAATTTTTGCATCGAATAGAATTTAAAAAAATATATTGTGCGACCGTCAACTCTTATTGGGGAAACTCGACCAATTTTGTAAGCCTGGAAATTTGTTAACCTGGAAAATTTTATTTGGGAGCTTAAAGAACTATACTTACGGAACTAACAAATAATTATTTTAATAACGTAATGACTTATATACTTACCAATTATAATTATAGGGAGTTATGTAGTTTGCTTACTACTAGCCAAATCGATGAATATGACATCAATTTAAGCCTACTTTGAATACCAACTAAATTTCATTACGACTGGAATAAACCCGAACCTGGGCTTTTGTCCCCGTTCTGTCCGTGTGTCTCTCTTGGTTACGACATCTCTGGCAGGTAATAATGATCCATTTGGATTATATTCTGCAGAAATAAATACAAGTCTGGGCAATCTGACAAAGACCGGTATTTTAATGGTTTGGTGCAGAATTTTATCGAATCAATCCCACTCAGAAGGCTGAATTTGATACTGCAACTTTGAAATTTTTAGATAATTCACCCCCAATTTCAGGAATACATAAATATACTACTGAGTAAATATGTATTTACTTTGGTCACAACGAATGTGAAAAACTGCTGCTCTGTTAAGCATTGATGCAGAATGTCTCAAACAATTTGCGAGTTAGGTACCATTTTAAAATCATGCCTGGCTCGGGCTATGCAATAACCGTACTGACAACTTATTTTTCAACATGGTCACTGAATTCCCCACTTTATTCCCTTACCTTAAATACTTACTTTAATCATTTCGCTCTTGTGGAGACGGTTCACTGTTTTCATCGAGGTTGAGAGCAAGCAAGCATTAATGTACGAAATTAAATTTTGATTAATTAGAGAAATATTTATGTACCTGATGATAATAAAGCAAAATGACAATGATTTCGAAATAGCGAGTAAGTATTTTTAATTGCTACCAGATGTTGATTATAATATTTCCAAATAGTAATTTAATTATGTACACTTTACTCCATCCACGTCTTAGTTTTTCTTAGCACGCAATTTCCACACATTCGGAGACTCCTATTGACATTACTAAAAGAGTAGGAAAGAGATCAATACATTTTTTGAAAATTGCAAAAGATGTTAAAGTCATGGATGTGCCAATTAAAGCCGTATTGCCTCACGCATGACGCAATATTGCTATGGCAGAATATCCACGTCGATTTTCTAGTCATTAAAAAATCTATTGTTTTATAGAATTGATAAGCAACACGTGGAGTTAGTGACTCACAACATTGGCACTCTAAATTATTCAGATTTCGCGATAGAATTCATCTCACACGTAGACCTTGCCCTTTGTTATAGGAAAATGTATCACCTCCTCAACTTTGCACTGTGTACTTATGTAACCTGAGCGTGTTAAATTTTACGGCATGACTTTTGTCCAATTTATAAATAAAGGACGACCGAAGCATCAAAGTTGATGCATACATACATATACCTTTCTGTTCGTTTTATTTGTCTTTATTAGCTGATGTGCCAGAAGAGCCAATTTTGATTCCTTCAGATATAAAATTGATACAATTCTAGTAAATAGAAATTATTTGCCTAGAATTCGCAAATTTTTCTTATCTCGATTGATATGATGTGCCAGTTAACAAAACATAAAACACTTCTGAATAACTTCCTCGTCAAATCTATGTATCATAGATGCAATTCAACCGATGCCATACACGAGCGACTAAGCCTATTCGCCTGCCTAAAATTTGTATGCCTTCATTGATGTGATGTGCCGCGGAAGGTACGAGAAGCCAATTCGCAAAACAGCGTAAAGGTTCATAAATTTATAAACCTTCCACACGTTCATTTAGGAAATAGAGTCACAAATTGGGGAAGACGTGTTTCGAGGACCTCGTTACATTGAAAAATTTATAAAATTTCTATATATCTAATCCCCAAAAACTGCGCGGTTCCACTTTTAAATCTTTAACAAGTTATTCAACTTCATATAAACCACTCACATTTTGCAGAATGTTTCAACACTCTCAGGCACTTATTTAATCCACCGACATGTTTTCGAAATTCGCTTTCGGTGCTTTTTCTCGATTTTTCATCACCCTTAAAAAACTTCACTTCCTTCCCCCAAATGTGTGGAATCCGGTAGAAAATAAGTTTGAAATGGATCCAAATCCCAACAAAGTTAGGTGGATACTGTCAAATATAAATTTGACCGTAATTTTCGTACTAATCCCGGTGTACGTTATGTCGACAAGTATAGCCACACTAAACTCGAGTCAAATAGTGTTCCTATCGCTAGAAATGGTCGTCGCGATTCATTCCGTGTCGCTATTCGTGATGGCCGCTCTGGCTGGAGCAGAACTCTCAAAAGCCATGAATACTTATATGGAAGTCGAGAAATACTTGGCAGGTTTGTATCTACATTGTGTTCCTACAAAATGTGTTAGGTAAAATTTGAGATATGAGATCGGTCAAGCTTGACCATGTGTTGAAACTATAAAATGTTGAACAATATGAATACAAGATTAGAAAAATTATGCAAAAGTTGTTATTTTGCTCAAGTACTGAAAGCAATTAATGATTTGGACCTTGTCTTGATTCACAGAAAATCAAATAATCTTTAAACCCCGCACCTACCCTATCTGGTACAGAGACCTGTTCGGGTTGCTCTTTAACGCTCTTACTCTAACATTCTTCTCGTTCATTATAACCGTCCCAACCGTTCTCGTTCTTACGGGCCTGGATCCGCTCAACTTCGTGCTACCGCCGCCTCCTGAAACATCATCCATCCTCGATTCAGTTATGACACTTCACTTTATTTTTAGAGTAATTATGTGTACTCTGGTAATAGCGGAAATTGCTTCGACCGTTGGGCTTGCACACATTTCATTGGTCATGCTACTGTTGTACTCAAAGATGTGCATTAATAGCATTAAGTTTTACCGCAAACCTAATTCCGACGTAACTGTGGCACAAAGATTAAGTAGATGGCGGAAAAGCAAGAACAACCAAATGGACGAAACAAAGCCCAACTTACTTCTCGGGTTATCCGACTTGGATCTCTACTCAATCCTCATGGTGCAATTCCGCCTGGTTCGTCAGTATTCTGATACTGCAGCTGTATTCATAATGGGACCTGGATTTCTTATTGATGTCATTGCAAACTACGTAGCAATCATGATGTTCGATAAGTTACCACTACTTCTATACCTTGCCATATCCATGTTAGCCATCCTGGCCCCGATACTTATCATGGGCGAACTTCCACAAGCCGGGAAAAGTAATACGTGCTCAATCAGTTTGATCAACCATTTCAGAGGAGGCTCTTCCCAAAAGCTTTCTCCTTGGAAGCGCAGGAAAGTAAGGTCGCTGCATCCTACTACAATCTGGATTGGATCGTTTTTTTCAGTAAAGAGGCAAACGTTGTCAATTTATGTGGATGGGATACTGAATTACACGGTTAACGCTATTATGTTACTGTAATCAAGTTCAACGTGTCGCATTGTAGGATAACATTAAAGTTAAGGTATTCATAGATCAACAGCCTAAGCAAAACTTGAACTTCAACAACGACCAGTCTGCTTGTTAAGTAACTTTTGTTATATTTGTAGGCATGTGTGTGCGTAGCCTTATTGAAAACAATTAAACCAATAGTATGTGTGTATATATTAGCCACCACAACACAGATAAGCTCCATGGCAACCACAATCAAAGCAGTGTGAATTTATTCGTTATGCAGTACTTAATCAGGATTAATTGGAAAGCATAGTTTACTGTAGGAGAGAATACGTGGAATTTGGTGGTTGTAAAAGAGAGTAATAGATGTGAAGAAGGGCGGTTAGCCTAGTGGTAAAGGTGTCCGTCCGGGAAACGGGAGACGCGGGGTTCGATTCCTCGGACCACTCTTCAAAACATATTTTTGCTCTCTTTCGCGTACTACAACTACCAAAAACCCCACATTACATCCGTCCCATATTTGACCTAGGGGTTACAAGAGTTGTCGCAACCAAAGTTTGAAAAATCGTTCATTTCATTACGGCTATACATTTT